ATAAGGATAATTAGCATAATTAAGACAGCATGTTTCATTATACTTGGAGTAATTAAATTGCAGTAGGAAAAAAAAGCCTTGTACTGCGTCTTTCCGGTGCTGTTTTGGAAATACGACCGGGACAGTTTCTCTCCTTAAAATGTAAAAGAATAAACATTCAGTAAACACAGTAAATTGGATAAAAATTTAAAAATAAAATGCATGTGCTAAAGAAACTTGGCACATACCTCCACATACCCATCACCATAAACAAATAAAGAAATAAAAAGTAGTACTATTAGTACTAATGCCGTCATGTGATTCGTGCCATGCAGACTTAAGCCTCTACATCAGCATTGTTGGATGTACTGTGGTGTGTACAGATGCATGAATACGTAATGAGAACAGTATGCATACAACAATATGCCATATATATTGCATGTGTGCGTTTACAGTCCAACTCCACATCCAAGGTGAGCGCTTCCCTCCCTCCTCAGAACCCACATTGAGTTTGATTAATCATTCCCCCTCATCTGCAATCAATCAAGCAGCCTCTAAAATCACAGAAATCAGCTCCTTTCCCTCTCTCCAATCCATCTTGCCTCGGATACGACTGCATCCGTCACAAAACCCAGATATTTTTATGAGTCATATTTAGCCGCTTTAAGCACAATGCTGAAGCTACGCGCTCGAGATAAACCAACTTTGAATATATTATAAGGGGTCTCATAATGACCAGTGTCAACACAATCCATCTTCATACATCATCCGGCTCTGCGCTGATGCGTGTAAAGTACAGATCGACTGATAGCTCCACCAGGTAGAGATGTGAGCCCACAAGTTCAGCTTGGAGCCCGGAGCTGATGTTATGAGGGCCCGTTTGGTGTAGTTCCCACCACCTCCAGGCTGTATTGGCTATCTTAAGTAACGAGAACAGAGATGGACAAGAGAGGGAGAGAGAAAAGTTTGATGTTTGATGTTCTCTCAGGCTCCCCAAAACAATTGATATGTTTGGTCTGGCGAAGCTTTGAAGCCTGTGAACAAAAAAACACGGTGTACACGCCATTGTCTGCTCCTGAATGGAGGAGGGCATTGTGGGAGGAAAAAAAAGGAGGAGGGGAAAAAAAAAATCACCCTGGCTAGACAGAGAGAGTAGTGTGTGAGAGTTAGAGAAGAAAAAGAAGGAGATAGATAGAGAGAGAGAGAGAGTGTCATAGAGCAAGAAAACTGTACAACCAATAGACATATGCAGCGCTCCTGATGGAAACAACACTTAAAGTTTGAGCCTTTTTTCTTAGATTGCGTAGTATGTGTAGATATTTTCTTTTCGGTCCAGTTGTTGTTGTACTCCTGACCATTCAGTGCGGCCTATTCTACTAGCCAACATGATTACGCAGGTACCCAGGCCCATTTGTCACCTGCAGCAGCAAATTGAGTTAGTGCGCGGACTAAAGGCATGGAGGACTGTGTAATATCAACTTGATTACATCAAACTAGCTGCAAACCTAATTGGGCTGGATGACAGTGTGCGGAGCTTGTCATCTCCAATCATTAGGCCTGTCAGGAATCCATCAGCTTTACAGCTAATTAGGTGAACACTAATGAAGCTGGCAAAACAACTTTTCTTTTTCTACGGCTGAGCGGGCCTTCTAGACTTAAAGGGGGGAAAAGGAGAGAGAGGGAAAGAGGGAGAGCGAGAGAAAAGCGAGGGAGGGCGAAATGTTCTCATGCAAAGCTCAAGGTTGCAGGGGACTGGATTTTCCCAAAGTTCCTAATCAAGGCCCATCATCTGCCATCTTTCCTTTGCTCTTTCCATCACGACGGCGCAATCAATTTGTCATCACTCTTTGTATGCCACGGCGCAGTCGTCAACCTTATAACTTGCAGCTGTGAGGGCTGCTGGGAGGGAGGGATGGAGGGAGGGATGGAGGGAGAGAGAGAGAGAGAGAGAGAGAGACAGAGGAGGGGCATGGGGTTGGGGGGTAGTGGAAAAAAAATCACAGGAAGTTGCCTCGTCTGGAGCAAGAAAGAAAAAAAAAAAGCCTCTCAGACTGCGCTCGTATTTGTCTTCATCCGCTCATCAAAGGCATAAATGCCTGAATCCTTTTTTCTCTCACCCCTCTGAAATGAGAAGCCTTTCAGTCATCCCTCGTTCCCCTCCCTCCCTTCCTCCCTCTACCTCTTCTGCGTGTCCATTAGGCAAAAGCATTTTGATAAAGTAAAACTCAGGCCTAACGTATGAGGGTGGGGGTTTGAGAAGGAGGAGGTGGGTGGGGAAGGGGGGGGGGCAAAATGAGAGCACTCACTCTGCCAACTTCTGATTGACCATTAGAGCCATTGATGAATGTGGCTGTCAAGGGGGAGACAATTAAATCAAATATGAAACAAAGTCGCTTTGACGGGTCCGACTGATGGAGCAAACCATTCTTCCGTCTCCAGATTAGGCTATTAGTAACATTTTTCATACCAGCTGCGTGTGTGCGTGTGTGTGCGTGGCCGTGTGTCTACAGCGGCATTAATGTGTTTTTATATGTGCTTCCAGAATGTACCCATTTACAGTACGCTCTATTGACGGCTGGCGTGCATTCGTACATTTGGCTTCTGCTGAAGCTACTGTATTTACATTCATGCGGCTTGCAGAAAGTTCACCGTTGGCACTTTTCTTGTGTGTATATATGAGAAATTTCAATAACTACTCGTATTATCTTGGATATCTTACTGAGCTCAAGGGTCTACTCAAACACGGCACTGCTGTGGAGATTCTTCTAACCTGCACGGCCTGAAATAGTATTACATTTTCTTTAGATCATATCGTGTAACAAAAAAGGTGATCATTTCTCACAACAAGGCCTTTCTGTAAGACCTAAATACATACAGCCACCAGAAATGTTACTAGACACCGCCATACACTATCAACTCAGTTTTCAGGACATCAAATTTTGTCCTACAAAAGAACACTAAGTGTCTCTACCTAGTTGTAAATACATGTGAGTCCTCTTAGTGGAAACAGCCCTGTCTGGCCCGCGGTGCTGGATCTGTTGGCGGTGAGTGTGGGCTGGCAATGTGAGGAAAGTACTGAAAGGGCTACACTTAAAAAGATTTTTTTTTTTTAATGGGCAGCTGTCAGAGACAGACGTGACGTCACGGGGATTGGCGTTACCATGGGGATGGAGTTATTGATGTTTATCGGGAATGAATAGATCAAAGGCAAAGGGCGGATGACAGGCGATCAATCAGCCGTCAAATCAAAGATGGCAATTGTCCATTAAACCCTCTTTTCCAGTCCACGTACTTCCCCTGGCTGCGAAATCATCTTTAAGGCTTTTCCCACAAACGGCTGGAGTAAGAAAAAAAAGAGAGGAAAAAAAGAAGAAGGAGACTAGGCGAAAGACGTTTTGTGATCAAAATGTTTGCGCACACAAAGCCCCCAAAAAACAGCGAATAGGAGCATCAAAGGGAGTCATGACAGTCAGCTGACACCAAAGCCCTTTTTTTCCTGCTCTTCTTTATAGATCTCTAATTCATGGAGTCAATATCTGCGCCCAGCGAGGGAAAGGGGAGTTTGAAGGAGGAGTAGAAAAGAGAGAAAGAGAGGGAGAACAATCAAAGCTGAAGTTGACTCGGCTAAATCGGATGAGCTAACTGAGCAGAGCAAAGAGCCTCTTCTGACCAAACTGTTTCCCTTATTCGGATATAAAGCTGAGAAAATCACAAGCCTGGACTTTTACTACAGTGTCTATAAAGTTTGAAGAGCAAAAGTGAGGACGATAAAAATACTACCCTATAAATATACCACGTAAAATCACTTGCTTATTAATTAACGTACCTACATTTGTTAACCGCAGATGATTATAATAAATAAATGAATGAAAAAGACAAGAATTTCAAAGCAAAGCCCAAATATTTTGGAAAAAAACTTCCAAAATGCCCATATCACACAGCCTCAAATCGCACACACACACACACCACACACGTTTCTCGCTGTTCGCCAAAAGCAGCCGAGTCGACAGAGTAGCTCTGAAGCTACACTAGCACACATACTGCAGCAGCAGTAGAAGCCCGCAAACGCTACGAGAGCGAAAACCAGACACACAGACAGCACGCACGCACGGAGAGAGCGAGGAAGGAAAGGAAGAGGAGAAATGGGTGTAATGAGAAGGAGGAGAAAAAAAGCGGTACGGTACCTGCGGAGCGCCTGGGCGCTTGCTGCTTCCTCCTCGGCATGCTGCCCCGCCGCTGCCCGCTTCTCTCCGCGCGTGTGTAGAGTGTGTGCTCGGCCACGACACGGCCAGCCGCTCCGCTACGCTTCGACAGCCGGGGGCTTGCTCGCTTGCTTTCACAAGGCTGGCATGGATGGGCAGTTTATGTCAAAAAAATAATTCGCCAAAATCCCCCCAGAAAGAGAGACCACCCCGGCTGGGGTAAGATGATGTGAAGCTTTTTCTCTCCCCTCTCTTCTTCTTCTTGTTTTTTTTTCTTCTCTCCTTCTTCTTCTCGCCGGGAGAGTAGAACAGTAGAACAGTGGGAGCGAAGGAGAGAAAGAAGGGGGGACCAACAAAAAAAGAAAGAGAGAGAGAGAGTGGGGGAAAAAAGGGAAAGAGCAAAACGCTTCTGCCTTCAATGCGAGTCTCACTCGGCGCTGGAAGCTGCAACAGGCAAGCTTAAAGGAAAACGAAACGATCGCGTCACTCAAAGTCGGCAAACAGGGGGCAAAACATCAAGCACTGTCACATTAACTCCTTACGCTCCTGACGCTTTGGCTGAGCTCCTCTGTCTATATGTCTCTCTCTCTCTCTCTCTCTCTCTCTCTCTCTCTCTCTCGCTCTCTCTCTCTCACACACACACATTCGCGCGCTAGTAGTAAACTCCCAATTCGTGAGCACACACTGATGACTGACGTTTAAATATGTGACAAGCAGTGCACGCACACTACACACACGCGCGCACACATGCACGCGCAATCACAATAAAGAATTCGAATTGTGCTCGAAGGTGTGAATGTGAGCAACGCGGGTACTTACTGAGGCGTTTGGCTCGCGCCGGTATCCATGAGGGCTATCCAGTCCCAGTAAACACGATTTATGAAGAAAATCAGTTTTAAAGAAAAAGAGAGCAGAAGGAGGACAGAATGCGGTGTTAGGTTTGGAAAATCCCCAAAATGAAACTCCTCGCGCTTTCAGATCAGATCAGATGTCCATCTGTTTTGTTATGAATGAAGAGATGGGGTGAAAAGACACGGGGCTGAAGGAGGGATGGAGAGAGTGAGGTTTTTTTTGTCCAAATCCGACCGAGAGCGCTGCGGATCGATGTGATCGGCGCTCGATTGGAGCCGCCTCGCCGTAGGAGGAGGAGGAGGAGGAGGAGGAGGAGGAGGAGGAGAAAGAAGCTGCTGCTCCACTAATGGCACTTTAACTCCTTCTTTTGTGTGTTTGCGCGCGCGCGTGTCCTCTTCACATAGAACGCTTTTTTCATCCAGTTTTTTTCAGTTCTTTTTCTTGTCGGTTGTTGCAAAAAAAAAAAGAAAAATCTTTTTTTCTCGTTTTAGTAACGATAAGATCAAATCAGAATTCTCCAAAATAGGTCCATCAGAACGATTTCAAGATTAAGAGCAGAGCAGATTATTAAGAATTATTATTAGTGTTATTAATATTTTCCGTATTATTTCGCTCGTGTCTGATGAAGTTGGAGTCCAGCTGTGCAGAAGTTGTCCGTGTGTTTCTCCAGCTCCTCTTTTTGGCTGCTCCGGAACACACACACACTCACACACTCATACACACACGCAGTCACACGCGCGCACACACGCAAGCGCGCGCAGTTTTCTCGCTTGCGAGCACGCGGTGGTGAGTTGTCAAATGTTCTCGTGCGTTCGAGTCCTGCTCTCCGTGCTGTTTTTCCCTCTCGTGCAGGTGGAGCTGAGAGCGGAGGGCGCGCGTGGAGCTTTTCCACCCCGCGTGGAAGGGGCAAACAGAATCAGAAAAAGGGGCCAGCAGGTAAGCGCTGAGTGTCCGTCCCGTCCAACGGTCCGTCCGTCCGTACGTCGCGTGCAGGCGCCGAGCTCGTGAAAGCAGCTCGTGCACCGGCTGTGTGTGAGTGTGCGTGAGCGCGCGCGCGTGTGTGTTTTTACCCGGAGTCTCGCTGCATGCCGTTAGATCCGCCCAAGCATGTGTCCGTCTAACCAATGGCGCATCCATCAGTGTCACACACACACGCGCGCGCGCTCTCACACACACACACACACACACGCACGCTGCAGTCTCTCCGCACGGAGTCGCTCAGACTCGCGTTTCTGAGCGCGTGCGGGATGATTAAGAGTTAATGGAGGTGGAGAGGCTGCTTTTTACTCTGAGAGAGAAATGAAAGTGTAGTAAAAGGGAGATGAGGTGACTGTGCGTGTGTTCTGCTGTGTCTGCACGGCTGTCTGCGTTTGAGTTAGTGCAGAATAGAGCAGAGCTGGATTACAGCCTACAGTGCAGAGTTCCTGCACTCAGGAGCTCTCAGTGAGCTAGTACAGTGCTCTGAGTGTGCGGGACCATTCAGCACTGAGGGTCTCGCTGTGGAAGAGTAAAGCTTGTCTTCAGTCTTAGGCTGTTTAAGTGAGCTTGTACTGAAGTACTAATGATAAATCAGCATTACGTGGTTAATAATTATTCATAACGTTCGGATGGAGTTTGTATGCTTTAGTGCAAAGTATGTAGGCAGTGGTAATGCATAGTGTGGATAGTCTAAGGTAGGTCTTCTACGAGGCTGGTTTGCACTGACGCAAGCGTGGAAGTAGGCTTAGGTGCACAATGTATATAGTAACACTGTATATATGTGTGTGTGTATATATATTTATATATATATATATATATATATATATATATATATATGTGTGTGTGTGTGTGTGTGTGTGTGTGTGTGTGTGTGTGTGTGTGTGGCAAAACTTAAGTAAGTCTAGTTAAGTGAGTTTAGACGACTAGGCCTTTTTATTTATTTACTAGTTTGTGTTAAATTCTGTGTAACATTGTATACATTTTTATCTTCCTATAGATGCTCTATATGTATACTTATACAAATTTTATGTAAACATTTCTAAAAATAAAAAGTGAAAAAGGCCTAACTTGATTCGTCTAACTGATCAATCACACTTTAGCATGCTTAAGTTTTATTTTAATTAAATTTTAAACTTTTCATAATCACTTTGGTGCTATAAGGAAGGTTATTAAAATAAAACAAATAAATAAATAAGGAAGTAAACATACATAAATAAATAGTAACCTACTCATGCTATTGTTAGTAAGCGCCTGTATCAGATAATCCTACAGATAGATAGATAGATAGATAGATAGATAGATAGATAGATAGATAGATAGATAGTCATATGATAACTGCTCTGAATGTTGTAGTAATCTGCTGTTCCAGACAGCAGCAACCTTCTGACCTTTGTGTTTGTGAAGTGGTGTTGCCGGAAAAAGCCACAGACACACGATCACTTACACACAGACTAAAGAAACGATTATTTCTGTGTGTGTGTGTGTGTGTGTGAGTGTGTGTGTGGGAGAGACAGAGAGAGAGCGAGAGAGAGAGTGTGTGTGTGTGTGTGTAAGAGAGAGAGAGATAGAGGGAGCGCTCCTCCTCCCTCTCTCTCTCTCTCTCCTCTAGTTCTTCTGTTGTGCTTTAGGAAAACGCTACTGACCAGATACTCTTTATTTTAGCGATATGAAAGTAAAGCAGCTTTTCACTCACAGACGAAAAAAAAAATAGAAAAGAAAATCGTCTTCAGCTTAAGAGAGCAGGTATGATACTTACCTCTGTTTTTCTTTCCTTCCTAATCTACCCCTGTGTGTGAGAGCGTGTGTTAGTGTGTGTGTTGCTGTGTGTTGATTGTTGTCACTGCATGTTGACCTTTTTTTTGTTTAGTGCATGTAAACTGCTCTTTGGGCTCTCAGGCCTGAGGCCTCCAGCTAGACATTAAAGTTTGTGTGTTAACTGTGGAACTTTAATCCAAACCAACAGGAAACACCCACAGGAGAAATATTCACAGGATTCACTTTATTGTATTATTTACTTAAATATTAGATTCTGACTTTAGGTATGAGGGGAAAGTGGATTTTTGCGTGTTTGGCTGTAAAATGCTGGAACAGGAAAAATAGATGCATGAATAAAAACTAGATTAACGTTTATTTTCAGTTTATTTATGGAAAATGTGCTTTCAGGCCTTAACATGTAACCTGAGCCTATAGTTGTATATTTATAGTTTTCACTAGTTCTCGAAATCAGGGCGGCAGGCCTGGTGAACCCTGAAGGGATAATATATTTTTGTTGAAAGAAATATATTCTCTGAATTCTCGTCTATTTGCTGAAATGAATGATAGTCTTGCATAAAACTGTGTTTGACTGAAATCGGACGTGTTGTCCTCAGCATTAGTCTAATGCAAACAGCAGCACAGAGCTCGCGCCGTGAGCCTCATGAATGTGTGTAACTCGAGCAAAATGAGTAATTATTGGTTCTAAATGTGCTGTAACGTGGCTGTGGTCGCTGTTTCAGCTTATGCCCCCTCAGAGCCGCGGAGAAAAACTTTTCTGCAGGACTGGAACAGTGTGAGTGTAATGTCAGCCCCGGGAAGGTAGACGTTTAATATGTGTGAGGAGGAAAGAAGGAGAGTCACTGCAGCCTCGGTGCACTTCAGAACCATCGCTGAAAGTGCGCAAGGCAGGAGCGCTCAGTTTACTGCGCCAGAAACAAGAGAAACTAATAACATTTACGCAACATTCCTGCAGATTCAGCGCTGCGTTTATAAGCGCAGTGAAACAACGGAAATGAATGAAACCCCCACATTCACTGAAAGACCCCCATTCTCCGCGCGCTTTGTTGTTTTATTGTTTATTCGCGCCGTTTATTGTTTATCCCTGTTATTTATGGCAAGAATCGGCTCTTTTTAGAAGATATAGACCGGTGTTTGTTTACTGCCTGTTGATTTATTTAAATAATCTCCTCCTAGTGAGTTTAATTCTCTACAGAGGAAAAAGTTTTTAATTTTTCTACTTTCACGCTTTTGCGCTAAAATGTCCTAATTAGAGTCAATCAAATCACTTGATTCGTGAAAAATGTGAACTTTTTTTCCTTCCTCTTCATTTAAAATGCATGAAATAGTGTCCGTCTGTTTGTTCGAGACGGCAAAAGAAACTTCAGCACATTTTGTGTTTGACGGCGATTCACAAAGGGAAGAATAAATTAATCAATGTATTGAATAATTTACATATAATAGTATGAATAATTAACTACTTAACAATTAATTTTTGCAGTGTACACTCCCAGATCTTGTACATGAAATGGCTTAAAACGGGAATATATATATATATATATATATATATATATATATATATATATATATATATATATATATATATATATACAGTAACAAAGAAGAAAAGGATTTTAAGCTTTACATGAGCGCTGCGTAGTGACTGAATATGGACATTTACTGTGTATTCAGATAAACTTTGTTGAAAACCAACAGACTGAATCACAGTGATCCAGTTTCATTAAGCTGTGTTGGGGCCTCAGCTGCAAAATCAGGAGGAATACAGCAGTAAAGGTTGGATGCTGGTATAAGTTTATTTATTACATGCGTTATAAAAGGCCCAAATCCCAAAGGGAGAATACTTGGAGGCGAATCTGGAATTTTAAACCTGCCTGGCTGTTGTATTTTCTTAAATCTAAGGTGTGTTTATCGAAACATTGCCCTTAAGCTCTCTTCCCACCCAAAACCCCATCAGCTCTTCCAGCAGCTGGATCCTGAGCAGTGCGGACTACCGCGCATCAACGGCAAAGCAATGGAGCTAACGAGGCCCTCGTGCAGAGCGCACTCGTCAGATTTGGCATTCATTTGAGTCGTCATGCTCTTTGGATTTCGCCAAGTCAAATTTAAAGTTACGCACGTAACATATACGATGCGCATTCCTTGCTTTCCTGATAAAGTTTAAACCCACTAATTCTGTGTCCAGAGCTCGTCCAGGCAGCGAGGTGAGCTTGCACGAGCATGAAAACGTGCACATGCTTAGCCCTTTCATACCTGTTCAGGTGGACGGAGTAGTTACTCAGTGAGGCATGAAGAGGAGGGAGGGAGGTATTTTCATTTATACACGCGCAGGCAGGGCGTTTGCGTAAAGCCCCCCACACTCCCCTTGTTTAGGACGGGCTCTTTTATGCCTAAGGGGTAATAATATCATAATCGTCGTTGATGTGAGCATGTCCCATCCACCGCCACCCAGAAAAGGCAACCCCCCCCCACACACACACGCAAAACACCCCTTCAGTTGGAGCTGTACGGTGCGCTTTTGCGCGCAGTTGGCTGAGCTGAACGCGCAAAACCGTGCAGCGTGTTTCTGGCGCGCATAGAAATCGTTATGGGTAGAAATGAAGAGAATGAGTGGGGAAAGGAAAAGAGCGCAGTGTGTGAGTGTGTGTGTTTGGGGGGCTGCGGAGTGTGGGGTTTGGCGGGGGGAGAGATTTCACGGTGAGGAGAATCTTCACGGCACACTTGTTCCTAGTAGTGTGTGTAAGGAGGCCGAGCCGGAGAGGAGCTGTTGGAAAAGAGAGAAGGGGAAACGTTGACTCATCTTATTGCAGCAACTGCTCCCACTGTAGATCTATTCCTTCTTCTCGGCTGCGTAAAATTCCCAGTGCTGAGTTCGCTGGAGTTTCATTTGTGTTCAAACTAGACAAACTAGACTTACGTGAACACTGTATAGGTGTTAATTCAAGTGGCCTACTGTAAAGGGTTGTTGTTGTGCACGTACAACATGTAGACGTAAGATTATTATTATTATTATTATTATTATTATTGCTGTTAATTACATTGTTCTTTTGTTATTTGTCTTAAGAACTGTTTTGTTTTTTTTAATAAAACAACAACACAGTCACAACAACAAAAATAATAGTAATAATGTTAATTAATTGAGGCATATATATATATATATATATATATATATATATATATATATATATATATATATATATGTGTGTGTAAATGTAAATTTATAGGAGGACACTATCACTTTGCCTAAACAAATTACCAAGAAATGCTTTAATCCTTTATAATCACAGCCTTATTTATATTTATTACATTGTTATTATTCAGTAACTACATTGACTACTACAATGCAATCTCAGTTATTCCAGAGTTATAGGAGTGGAATAAAATTTTGGCTCCATCAGTAGCTACCAGCCATTCAAGAAGGTAAAAATAACCCATATTACTGTATTACAATAACTTAGATGAGGTATAACATAACTGAAAGTAAGTTAGTAGCATGTAATAGACATATTTTATTGGAAAGACTTCTAACAATCCTCCTCTTTGTCTTTGGGCAGATGTGCAACAAGGCCTTCTCGGTCACTTCTCTGAGAAGAAACTTTTCCATGGACTCTTACCAGCGAAGTGTGTCCTTCACTTTAGCAAGACATAAGCCTTCCACAGAAGTCAAACTTTAAGTGAGTGTCTCTCCTTCTCACTCTCTCTCTCTCTCTCTCTCTCTCTCTCTCTCTCTCTCTGTCTCACACACACTCGCTGGGTGTGCTAGCTTTGCCAGGTTAAAAGGGCAAGTGCTGACCAGCCCTCTTTCTCTCTCTGTTACTAGGTCATGGAGGACCCCCCCACACCACAAAAGCGCCCCCCCCACTCTGCTGCTGCCTCTCCTGCATCCAGCACCTCCTGATCCCCTGCCACCAGGGAGAGGGTAATTTAAGCTCTGTGTGATGTACCCTATTCATCACTGTCCTGCCGGCCTGCTTCAAAATTAAGGTCTGATCTACAAAGTTAAAGCGAAATGAGATAAAAATTGGCAGAGGTCAAAAAGGGTGGGGACCAGTCAAAACACAAGGTGCTGTTTCGGCTGCTTTTGATTTATGTTTTTGAAGAGGGCCGCTGAGAAATTAATACATTAACCCGTTGCATCAGCTGGGGCCTGCGGCCCGCACCTTTGCTCTCAGAATCAGCTGATTAGGTCGGGTTGGAAAAGAGAGAGTGTCTGAAACGAGTGCTGCATTACCAAATTGCAATTGTGTGAATGCTGAAGTGTTTATAGTAACATTATTCTCTTACACTGAGAGAACAGACTATGGGCCACCCCTCATAAGGCTACACAGACCATGTTATTTTTGGAGCGATTGTTTCCTGAGAGTGGAAGAGTGCAGCTTTGGATATTTTGACTATTGATCATGAAACCAAATAGGGTTGAACCGAGCATGAATGTTTCTTTCTTTTTTTTTTTTTCTGTGCGATCATTTCTCAAACAGGCCAAGAATGAGTCCAGGAATGGCAAAGGGCAAAAAGGAAGAAGGTATTTTAAGAATGACGAGTGGTCTTACAGGAAAGGAGCAGGTACAGGCTGAATAAGATTGATTATGAAAGAATAGCTGCCCTGACTGGATGGGTAAAAATGTGGCTAAGGAAAAAAAAAGAAAGAAAAAAACAAAAAAACTTCCACTTTAATGGGCCTGTGTAAGTCTGCCTGATTGGGAGAAATGACGTAAAGCAGCAAAGCTGAGACATGCCTGATTGAAGGAGCATGTGTGTGTGTGTGCAACGAGTGTACATACAGTGCTGTGCAAAAGTCAGAGACCACCCTTCATTTGTTTCATTTCCAGTGTAAAATGTACTTGCATAAGGACAGGAAGGTGATTCAATTATTAAAAGATTAAAGAAACAGGACTTTTAACAACAGTACAAGACCTGGTAGACCACCAAAACCTGAATATCCTTTAAACAGCACTTAAAGCTTTCATCTTTGAGAGAGAGGTGAAAATCAAGCTGCTTCAAATCTGTAAAAACCCACAGGTGTTTATGTCCATTCTTCTACTGTGAGAAGACAACTCAACACTATGAGTCTGAAAAGATAACGATCAGAAGTTATACAGATAGTGTAACTATCAAAAAGACATTAGTGAGAAAAGAATTCAAGAAAATAGAAGAAAAGAAAAAGAAGAAAATTAGCAAGTCAAAGCTTATCGATTAACATTCAGCAGCTGTTAAACTGTTGAACTGTGGATTGAGGACTGTACACTGTTGCGTTGATGTACGGTGGTCATGATCGGAAGGTGGAAATCCTTTTTGTGTTCTATTGTAAAGCCCCTTGGTTTTCAATGTGCTATAAATAACATTTTGCTGCTGTCAGAACAAAACCTTGCATCTCCACTTTTGTCATTTTTCAGTTTTTCCCATAATTTGAAAATGCCTGTTGCTTTTTTACATTATGTGTAAATTTTATGATGAATGGACCAAAAGAAATGGCACAAAATGACTTGGAAAAAGTCTGGTTCCATTGACTTACATTAAAAGTAATGTATGTTTTTTCCTTCTCCTGTAAAGTTTCCATTTTGGAGATATGAGATTTTTCCTACAGTAGCAAATTACTTCTCAGAATGATGAAAAGTGACCACCCCACCCCAGTCCAGAACTAAATGTCACTGAATGTTATTGGAATTATTTTGATCGTGAGAAGCAAAAATTGCAACCAACTTCTAAGACTGAATTTTGGAAAAATAAATGTCCAGATTTCTTTGAAAAACTGAAAGCAAGTCTCCTCCAAGAAATGGAAGCTGTAATAAAGGCAAAGAGTGGACATATTTTACAGACATTTTATATTTAGTTGTAGGCATGTGTGATGTTATATTAACATATTTATTTATTTCCTATATTTAGTTTTTCTCTATGTTGAAAATTAATATAGATCTAATAACTTTATAGTCGTTTTGCCTGGAAATTGTATAAATAAAGGGTGGTCTAAAAATGAAGCAGCACAGTACTGTATGTGTGTGTGTGTGTGTATGCATTTAAGAGAGAGAGAGAGTGAGAGAGAGGTGGAGAGAGAGAGGTGGAAAGACTGCTCTATGTACTGTACCCACATAATTGCATACAAACCTGCATACAAACAGTGTGTGTGTGTGTGTGTGCGCGTGTGCGTGTGGGCTTGTGTGCGTCAGTGTGGGATACAGAAAACAAGTATATGTGGGTGTGTTTAAGCATTCACACACAAATGCTTGTGTGTGTATGTGTGTGTGTCTGTATGCGATTGTCTTGCATCTTGGTGTGCGGGTCCTGATCCGCAGTGCTGTATGGTAAACAGGAACGCTTTCCCTGGAAGGAGGAATTTCCCCCAGCAGCCCCCTATATCAGTAATAGTGGCGGTAATGAGCTGCAGCTGTCAGAGCGCTTTCCGCTCCTCGTCCCTGATTCATGTTCCTGCTGCACAACATCTACAACTGGAACAAATGTTTATCCCAATGAGAAGCAGGCAAACACGCCCTGCCCGACGCATGGCTCTTAACAGACTAACTAATGGCCCCGGCCCTATTTTAGCCCTTTTAATAATGCAAGCTGGCCTATGAGATGCGGAGCTACCATGGGGAAATAGTGCTGACCATTAAATGGTGGGATTTTTTTTTGTAGTGTGTGAGGCTAAAATTGTGTAAGAGATAGGAGAACAAGCTGAATGGAAGGTAACTAAGGTTGTTTTTTTCTTCCTAAGCTATAGGTTTTTTATTCATGTATTAATTCAGTAGCTATGGTAGCTACTATGAAGCTAATAAGTTATTCAGTGATGAGTCCAAGGAAATGATATGAAAGCCCATGTATGGGTTTTTGGTGTTTAAGTGGAATTTTAAGATTCATTATCCAGTAACCATTCTAAAATATTTTTTTACTACTATGGAAGTAATGCGTGCTTTATGAAAGTATGAGCAAGTGGAAGTGAAGTGTGGACGTGCAGATTCTTGCAGTTTAAGGGGTTAATTTGACCTAAAATTTGGTCTTAGTACAGTATGCTAACATTAAACAAAGAATAGCACAGCATGGGTGGGCTTTTAACAAACAACAAAATAGACCAGAAGAGAACAGAAAAAATAGAATGAAATGTAATGAACTGCAATGTAATACAATATAATAGAATAAAATGAACTGTAATAGAATAGAATAGAATAGAAAATTAAATGGAATACATCACAACATAGAAAAGAATAGAATAAAATAGAATAGAACAGAATCAACTGTAATTAATTGTAATAGAATAGAGTAGAATAGAATAGAATAGAATAGAACAGAATAAAATAGAATAGAACACAAGAGAATACAGTAGAATACAACAGCACAACAGAATAGAATAGAATAAAATAGAGTTCAGTGAACCGTAATGCAATGTCATAGAATAGAATAGAATAGAATAGAATGCATTGTAATCGAATGGAATAGAATAGAATAGAAAAGAATGGAATGCATTGTAATAGAAAAGAAAATAAAATAAAATAGAATAGAATAGAAAAGAATAGAATGTAGTAGAATGGAAAAGAGCACAATAGAATACAACAGCTCAACATAGAGTAGAATAGAATAGAGAGTTTTCACCACATAATGATTACTGGAGCGTATAGAGTTTTGATTCATGTCTGGCTACTACAGTCCATTTAAACGACTGTTGTGATGTGAAAGTCACATTAACGTGCTGGATGTTGTCATGCTGCGGTGTGACGAAGTGGAAGTATACTGTTTTTAATATGATGAGCGTTATTTATTTATTTATTTATTTATTTATTTATTTTTACTTTGCTCCGGTAGTGCAAATAATGTTTTTTCCTTTCTTTTTCAGAAGATCTTGCTTCATGCTCCTATTTATGTCAGAGCTGTGTGTGTGTGTGTGTGTGTGTGTGTGTGTGTGTGTGTGTGTGTTTACCCTACATGGCAGTAGATCTGTGACTCAAAACGGCACCACAGTGTGCCATTGCATCCTGGCAGTGGCATTAATCACACTTTTTTAATTAGCGCGGACCGGCTTTATTAATTAGGTGTGATGCGGCACTGATATGGCCTCTCTCTGTCAGCCCTCCTTCCTCATCACACACACACAAACACACACACACACACACACACACACACACAACACCCTCTAGCCATCAGACCTCCTCTCTCACAAGCAGATGTCTCAACCTCTCAGAGAGGGAGAGAGAGAGCGAGCGAGAGATAGAAGAGAGTAACACTGAGATGGACTGATTACTTCATCTACATGACCAGAAGAACGAAAGGAAAAAGCTATGAATGTTGAGAGAAGGCTAATACATAAAAACAGTGAAACACCGAGGTAACTAGTAGCTATACTACAGAGCTAAAATGAGCATAGTAAGTACTATTAGGGTAGTTATACAGAAGAAATAACATGTGAAAATACTATATAGTATCTCACCATGTTAAAAAATTACAGAACTAATATGAGTATGCAACAAAGATAACATAAAAAATTGCTTAAATAACAATTTTAGCATTGTAATTGCTAAGTAGTTACAATATAGTACAAGTATAAAAGTAGCAGATACAAGTAGCTACAATGCAAAATTAATGTTACAATAAAAATAAGTTCAAGTGCGAAAATACAGTACCAAAATGGTGCTTTACATATCTAACCTAATATGTTATAATGCTTAAATATTATTACCATTAGCATTGCAACTAATAGTAGCTGCAATGCTAAAATAATTTGTTAAGAAATGTTAAAATGCCAAAATAAGCTGTAACAAAGCATAAAAAATACTACATAACAAAATTAACATGTTACTTAATTAATTATTTAACACGTAATTAATACTCTTATAATTGTAACTAATACTAATGTGAAACTACTAATACTTACAATGTTGTGATAAAAATCCAGTTAGCATTGTAACTAATATATAATATATAATTAACTACATT